ATGATTGTGTATAAATACATTTGTTTAAAATTGGAGTTCTTACTTTATAAAAATCAAATGTCATATGAATATTTAATCAAAGGAGATAAAATTGAATTCAAGCATCAATTTTACTATCCTTTTTTACATGGTGGAATACATACATACATGTATTTGCTCCTTCAAGTTCAACTGATGAAGTAACAATGGTACATAAATAAGATTTTCAATGTTAAATATTTTAACTGTAACCTATCTGAAATAGTAATAAGTAAAAACACTTATAATTTATATGAATAGGTAGTTTGGAGTTATTGAAATTGTATATCTATCACGTATCAACCATGTACAGAAGAATGGAGGAAATTCGGATTAGGAAAAAACGAGCTTTTTAGGGCTTTCACAAATCATGTAGTACTGTTAAATGGAAAAGATGAAGGATATTTAAGAACAGTAGGACCATGCTGCTGTGATTTATTTCATTGGTTGGGAGTTTTGAATGAAAAACATGTGGAAATGTCTGTTTTTCAGTAAGGGGACTGGTCGAATGAATTCGGCCCCTGCAGAATTTTCATTCGCCATGTGGGCGAGCAAGTTATAAATTTTAAGAGCCCACACCAAATTTTACTCGCAATTTGCGAGTGGGCGAGCGTTAATTTTAAACCCTGGGGTAAAAACAGACTATAGGAACTCTTTTATTAGAGGAGGTAAACAATTTCGTCACGGGAGCCATATTTTGAACGCAGATTTCAGTGAATATTTTTATGTTGGGATTTACATGCCCTAAACAGTAAGCTATGTAGAAATAATAGTGACAGAGAGTCAAATAAACACTTAAATGACTTGATTGAAGCGAACAGCAGTGTGGTCTAGGTGAATAATTCTTGCTATAGGCGACTGAAGTTGGGACTTAATTTCCAGATGTGAATTATTAATGGTCGTCCAGGGATTCTGCGACAGCGTCAGTCCAAATATCTAGCCTAGCAGAATCTCAACAGGGAATAGAGGCTCAAACAATTGTTTATTTTTCAGAAGAACAATACTCCCTACCCCACGATTGCCAGTATAAAAAGTTAAAGTTGGTTATATAATGAAGGAAAATCAGCACGTTGACCTCCAATATGGCGGCTAGTGGGAAATAACTCTTGTAAATTTTGGTCTACTGAAAACTATCTATACAGCTGATACAAATTCTCAAGCAGGACCTTAAACAACTCACAATTGATCAATCATGTTAAAAATAGAATATGCTCTATAGAGACTTTTGATTTGAAATGCAAAATAAGGTGCACGATGATGTGTGATGCACAGTTAAAAGCTTTGAAAAGTATTGCAGTTTGGACATTTAATCAATTATATGTTATGGAAAATTGAATGTCAATTTCATTGATATTGTAAAAAATGTAAATATATCCTATATATGTATATTTTAAATGCACATTTCTTGAAATTTTATATAAAGGCTGAAAATTTATGATAAATTGAGTGTCTTTTCTTGTTCAATTGTAGAAAAGGAAGAGACAATGGGGAATTCTCACCCTGTAAATGAGAAAGAAGAAAATCAGGAAAATATAAAGGTAAAAATTGTTTTTCTGTTAAAATTTTATTGAAACACATCCTGTAGAAGCATATTCTTTTGTGGGGATGAAATTTGGTTGATTTGTTATCTGAAATACTTTTATAGGCATTTAATTTTGAGGCTTTGAAAATAACACTATGATTCAAAATCATGTGTTTCTTTGAAGTCATCTGTAGCATACAGAAAAATACATATAGAAACTGTAAATGTAGCAAAGATATGACAATTAAACTGCACAGTAAAGCAAGAAAAGACTGCACAATATAAGTGCCAGAAAAACAAAGGTTGTATTCATAAGTTTCGTGTATGTCAAGGTCTTGCCACTTTTTTTTTTTAGCTCAAACTTGTAAACAAAATTCAACTGGAGCAAGGTGAGAGATATGCTTTAACAACTTTTTAAAATGATTGCATCAGAATTTTTGGTCTATTTTTAGTTATTCCTAATTTCCTAGGTACTTGTGACCATGGTTACCATGGTAACTTATTCAACTTTTCTGCACATACATACAATAGGGAAGAAGAAGTATTTAGGAATATATTTGGGGCAGACTGAAATTATTTTTACTTTTATTTTTCTCCATAAAAATAAGTTTTTAGGTTCTGAACCCTGAAATTTTCTGAAACGTAATGCTTTTAGGAATTGAACAAAGTTTACTCGGGTCATGAAAAACTACATTTGTCAATTTTCCCCTTTGTGCATCATGGTGTCTCTTTAAATCTGTTTATAATTGTGAACAATAAAATTAACAAAATTTACCCCCCCCCCCCGGAAATATTTCTGCTTTTACAGTATTAACCTTTAGCCCATAGGGTTAGTATTAAGCTCAATTGAGCTGAAGTGTGAAGTTAGTTTATCAGATCACATTTTTTTCTGTCATCTCTCTGTCTGTGTAGTTGAAAACCCTTTGGCTTCTTCCCCAGAATCCCATATGCAATCTGAACAAAAGTTACCACAAAGCATCCTTTAGTAAAGGGAATGAAAAATTGTGTAAATAAAGGGAGAAAGGGCCATATCCCTCTTTCAATAGGAGTTAATTAGGAATTAGTGAAAATTAAAATATGTTTGCAACTTTTTGAAATATTCATATCAAGAACCACAAGGTCCAAAAACTTAGGCCATCCTTAAAAAAATGTTTGTTTGGAATTGCCGCCTGAAGGGTTTCAGACACAGGAGGAAGGGAGGGAAATTATTTTTTTTAATTGAAGATAAATTAAATTTTTTTTTATAAAAATCTCAGTAAACAGTAAATATGTATACATTTTCTTACTTTTAAAAAAAGTATCTACCATCAACAATAAAACCTAATTTTACATAGGTCTGACATGTGATAAATGTAATGGGCAAAAAAATTGATTAAATAAAAAAAAATCTTCCTACTTTTGGTCAATAATTTTTTTTCAGGAGGGGGCATTTCAATGAGGCGGGAGGCAATTCCAAACAAACTATAATTTTATTTTGGCCTTATGTGAAACCTTAATATTTACATTAACATTTACATTAAATGTTTTCCTTTATATAACACAACTGAAAGGAATCTCTATAACTGTATCAATACAGGTACGGGGTCAAGAGGTCAAAGATGTGCGTTGGATAATCGTTTGATGTAATTTCTCAGTGACATCATAAAGGGTCGACGCGTTCATTGGATTACATACTTGCCGTTGAGTTTGAAAAATAATGTATTTCACACTCTTAAAGTCACAATCAGACAAATAAAAAGCCCGAATAAGTCACAAATGTAAATATAAGTTATATTAAGATCTCATTTTATAACATGTATTGGGATTTTAATACATGTTGGTCACAAGATTAAATTCCATAGAGCCCGAAGGGTTTTTGATGAATTTAAATCCGTTCCGACCCGTATTTATAGACGATAGATATTTAAAAATGATAAAGGACATTATTTCCTAAATATCATAGAGTCATGTTTGTTGATATGACCCCTAGCGGTAGAGTAGGGTCGAATTGTTGGATGAAAAATTTACTGATGAATAACCTGTAAAACATCTCATGAGAAGCAAAACCATGATTAGTTGTATTGATATATGGAAGTATCATCAGATTGAGTTTGTTGTTATCATGACACCTGTAAGCTACGAAATAATCCCTTCTCACTCAATCTCAGCTAGACAGGAAAGGATTATACATTTTGCTCATCATTTTCGATGATGGATACCAATGGGTAGGTTGGGGTCACAGCAGGAATCAAAGCTTTACAAATGGGCTAAAAATACAAAAAAAATTGCTAATGAAAAACAATGGCCATATTGACTAAAAAGAGTGTTGTGGTCCATGGACCCATTGCTGGAAGTCTACTTATACCATTTAAGGTCCAAGTCAAAAGTCAAGGTAGTTATAATTTACTTAATCATTTATCACTTAATCTGTCTTATGTTTGCATGCATGGTATTCAATTTGTCAGCATGGCTAGGTATGTTATAGGATGGGCAACATCAGCATCAATGCTTAAGTAGCATCTGTAGAAAAAAAGCATTTCTAAACCACTTCAAACTTAATTGACCATCTTAGGTCATTTATACCTGACCATACGCACATGCTCATCAGAGTTGATTATTAGCTCTTCTGAGCCAAAGGCTCAAAGAGCTAATGCTATGGCCATTTGTGCGGTGTGCGGCGTGCGGTGTGCGTTAACTTTTTAGAATATGAGCCATAACTCAAGAACCCTTTGGCCAATTAGTGTCAAATTTGTCACAGGGTATCCTTGGCCCAAGGGCTACCATTTATACTAAAATAAGGGTTGGGACCCTAAAACAAGGGGAGATAATCAGGAAAACAAAACCAAAAGTACTGGTTGCAAAAAAATCTTCTTCTCCGGAACCACCAGGCAGATCTTCACCAAAATTACATACAATAATCAGAATATGTTGAAGATTAAAAATTGTTCAAGGCATGACCCTGGGGCAAAGGGCGTGGTCTCAAGGTCACTTCAAAGTTGACTTGAATTTACAATTAATGAAAATGTCTATATTTTGCTTACTATAAGGACTAGATCATCAAATCTTGTAAGTAGATGCATCTTACGACTTCACATCATGTTAACTCAAAAGTAGGTCACAGTGACCTACTTTTTTTAATTTTGCAGGCATGTGTTTTCAAATTGATTTGATGGCATATTTAGGACACTTTAAGGCCTATGATCATCAAACTTTGTCAGTTGATGCATCTTGGGTCCTTGAACAACGTCAACTTAAAAGTAGGTCACTGTGACCTACTTTTTGAACTTTATGACTTATCCTTTTTAAAACATTTCATCTCATTATTTCAGACACTGAGAGGGTTAGAATCATCAAATCTTGTAACTTGCTACATCTTGGGACCTTAAAAAATATTTAAGTAAAAGTAGGTCACTGTGACCTACTTTTAGAATTTTGCAGGCATTTGTTTTCAAATTGTTTTAAAGGCATATTTTGATTACCTTCAGACCAATGATCATCAAACTTGGTCAGCTGATGCATCTTGGAACTCTGAAAAATGTCAACCAAAATGTAGGTCATGGTGACCTACTTTCGACATTTTATGGCTATATTTCAGTATCTTATGTATTTATTGGCTTAGAATCATCAAACTTTGTGAGTTGATGCATCTTGGGTTTTCGGAGAGTGACGACCAAAAATTAGGTCACTGTGACCTACTTTCAATATTTTATAGCTATATTTATGTATTTCCAGTACTTATCGGCCTAGAATTATCAAACTTTGTCAGTTGATGCATTGGGTTTTCGGAGAATGTTGACCAAAAAGTAGGTCATGGTGACCTACTTTTGACATTTAATGGCTATATTTATGTATTTCTGGTACTTATCGGTTTAGAATCATCAAACTTTGTTAGTTTATGCCTCTTGGGTTTTCAGAGAATGTCGACCAAGAAGTAGGTCACAGTGACCTACTTTTGAATATCTCAGGTATTTATTGGCTTTGAATCATCAAACTTTGTCAATTGATGCATCTTGGGTTTTCGGAGAATGTTGACCAAAAAGTAAGTCAAGATGACCTACTTTTGACATTTTATGGCTATATTTAAGTATCTCCGGTACTTAATGGCTTAGAATCATCAAACTTTGTTAGTTTATGCCTCTTGGGTTTTCAGAGAATGTCGACCAAAAAGTAGGTCACGGTGACATACTTTTGAATATCTCAGGTATTTATTGGCTTAGAATCATCAAATTTTGTCAGTTGATGCATCTTGGGTTTTTCAAGAATGTAGACCAAAAAGCAGGTCAAGGTGACCTCTTTTGAATATCTCGAATACATATTGGCTTAGAATCTTCAATTTTAGTTAGTCTATTAATGCATCTTGAGTCCTCAGAAAACTTCAATCTTAAAGTAGGTCACCGTAACCTACTCATGTTTTTTTTTTTTATAGCTTTATTTAAATATCTTCAGTCCTAATTGGCTAAGAATCATCAAACTTTTTATCAGTTGATGCAACTTAGGTTTTAGGATACTTAGGGTTAGAGGCTTCAAGTACAAGTGATAGGTTGTACAATTTATCAGAAGAGCGATTCAAGGCCCTTGGGCCTCTTGTTTTGGATTGTGGAATGCTCACAACATTTGTACAATGGAATGCAGAAACCCAAGTTTTACCATTGTAAAACTATTGTTTGAAAATATGAGCAGGAAATTAGTAAATAATGATTTACATATTATATTATGTTTGTAAAATGCTTGGAAACATGCATCATGTCTTTCCATGGGAGAAACAACCTTATGCAATTCAACTCATTTAGCCGATTGCCGTTTTTCAGTTACGCTGATGTCTCACTTAGCATATGTAAATTAAATATGTAGGAAAAGAATATAGTTTCTAGGACCTGTGACATGTACAGTGTATTTACAATAAATCTGCAATCTAAAATAACATACTTTCTCTATTTAATTCTAATTTATTTACTACATGTACATCATAAATGTTCATCTAATTTGAGGTTGAAGGGTGTTTAAACAGCTTAGTTAAAAAATCTGAGCGAGATTTGTCGATACAGAAAAAATTTGAAGTGACATATACAATGAATCTTAGACCAGTGCCATATAAAGTGATTCAGGGAATCATGTCCAAACTTCTACGTTGTTAAGAAACACTCGCAACCTTTTTTAATCGACTTTGGTTCGAACCAATGACCTTTGGATCATGGAGCAAGTGCTCTACTGACTGTTAATATGCTGGATATATTGACGGATGTCTAGAAATGTATGTGTTTTGTCCCTAATATCATCAGTGAATGACACGGTATTGCACTATAACTGATTTGTTTGTTACACTTTCAGAGAAAAAAGGCAGCTTTTCCATCAAGATCGTATTCTCCAAGTGTTTCACATATTCAAGGCAATGCTGAGAACTTAAACAACTGTAAGGCAAATGATAATCAGATAGAGAAATTGGAAAGACACATCAGTAGTAGTGGAAATACAAAGTCCATTAACTGTAGCCACTGTGGGAAAATTTTCAGTTTTTCATGTCAATTACAGAGACACATGAGGATACATACAGGAGAAAAACCCTTCAAATGTGATGTGTGTCAGAAGGCATTTAGTCAATTTTGTACCTTACAAATGCACATGAGGATACATACAGGTGATAAACCTTACAAATGTGATGTGTGTGGGAAGGCATTCAACCAGGCATGTCACCTAGAGGCTCACCTGAGGATACACACAGGTGATAAACCTTTCAGTTGTTATGTATGCAAACAGGCATTTGCTCTTTCGGGACAGTTAAAGTATCACATGAGGACACATACAGGTGAAAAACCTTATACATGTGATGATTGTGGAAAGGCATTCCGCCACACAGGTAACTTAAATACACACAAGAGGACACATACAGTTGAAAAACCTTACAAATGTGTTGTGTGTGACAAGGCATTCAACCAGTCAAATACCTTAAAGGCGCACATTAGGATACACACGGGTGATAAACCTTATAATTGTTATGTATGCAAACAGGCATTTGCTCTTTCGGGACAGTTAAAGTATCACATGAGGACACACACAGGTGAGAAACCTTATAATTGTGATGTGTGTGGCAAGGCATTTCGCCACACGAGTAACTTAAACACACACAGGAGGACACATACTGGTGAGAAGCCTTATAAATGTGATATGTGTGGAAAATCATTCACTCTACTGTGTTCTTTAAAGAGACACATAAACATACATACTGGTGAAAAGCCTTATAAATGTGAACTGTGTAAAAAAGCATTTAGTGAAAAATCACACTTGAAAAATCACATGAAGTTGCACACAAGTGATAAACCTTATAAGTGTGAAGATTGTGGAAAGGGATTCCTTGAATTAAGGTGCTTACAGAAACACAGGAGGATACATACACGTGTTTAACCTTAAGAGTGAAATTTATGGGGAGTTTCATTCAATGCCATACTTTACGGAGTCACATGAGGGTACATACAAGTTATTATCAATGAGATGTGTGTGGAAAAACATCTTTTATACACATTGGGACTTAAAATTAGCAGTTGATGGAAACAAAGAATTTAAATCAGTTAACAGGAAATTGAGAATCATGTTATAAGCATAATAAGCAAATTGAAATGTATAGAATTGAATATAAGGATGAATATTATCAGACGATGTGACTTTTCCTTCACCTATAGTGATTATCTTTGCTTGGAATATCTGAGTAATGAAATATACGATGCAATCATTTTAATTTTCTTGTTTATAATTAATTAGCAGGAACTGGGGTAAAGGGATTTAGATTCATTTCAATGTGGAGACTTGGAACAGAACTAGACCTTCTGAAGATTGACTTATAATGAATTATTGTTGTTTTAAAAAGACACCGTGATGCATAAAGGGGAATCGTGACAAATGTTAAATTTTAGCATGACCCATGTTAATTTTGTTCAATTCCTAAAAGAATTGGGTTTCAAAAAATTATAGAATTCAGAACCAAAAAATTTTTTTTATGGAGAAAAATAAAAGGAACAAAATATTCAGTATTCCCCATTGCTAAATACCCTGGTACTTCTTTCTCCCTATTGTATGTGTGCGCAGAAAAGTTGAATAAGTTTCTTTACTTTAAGTTACCATGGTCTCAAGTATTCACGAAAGAATGTAAGTAGACCAAAAATTTTGATTTAATCTTTTTCAAAATTGTTAGAACATATTTTGACCTTTGCATGCTCCAGTTGAATTTTGTTTACATGTATTAGCCTAAAAAAAGTGATGTGACCTTGATATACATGACACAATGAAAAGGTAGATACAACCTTTATTTTTCCGGCACTTATATTGTGCAGTCTTTTCTTATATACTTATTATACCCCGCACAACAAGTTTGGTGAGGTATAATGTTTTCACACGTCTGTCAGAGTGTGAGCCAGTCAGTCCGTCAGTCCTGTTTTTAGCTCTACTGGTCAGAGACCAGAAGAGCTTATGCAATAGTAATGCGTCCGTCGTCTGTCCGTCTGTCTGTAAACATTTTTTTCAAAATGCTACTCCTCCTACAGTTTTGGTCTGATTTCAATATAACTTGGCACATAAGTAGACTACACTAAGATACATAATTCTGTGTATCGGTTTTTGATTTCGATGAATGTTGTTGCGGTTGTTACTAAAAATAGAAATTTCTGTGAAATTCTTTCAAAATGCTACTCCTCCAACAGTTTTGGTCTGATTTCAATATAACTTGGCACATAAGTAGACTACACTAAGATACATAATTCTGTGTATCGGTTTTTGATTTCGATGAACGTTGTTGCGGTTGTTACTAAAAATAGAAATTTCTGTGAAATTCTTTCAAAATGCTACTCCTCCAACAGTTTTGGTCTGATTTCAATATAACTTGGCACATAAGTAGACTACACTAAGATATATATTTCTGTATATTCGTTTTTGATTTCGATGAACGGTGTTGTGGTTGTTACTAAAAATAGAAATTTCTGTGAAATTCTTTCAAAATGCTACTCCTCCAACAGTTTTGGTCTGATTTCAATATAACTTGGCACATAAGTAGACTGCACTAAGATATATATTTCTGTATATTCTTTTTTGATTTCGATTAATGGTGTTGCTGTTGTTACTAAAAATAGAAATTTCTGTGAAATTCTTTCAAAATGCTACTCCTCCAACAGTTTTGGTCTGATTTCAATATAACTTAACACATAAGTAGACTACACTAAGATACATAATTCTGTATATCCATTTTTGATTTCGATGAATGGTGTTGCCGTTGTTACTAAAAATAGAAATTTCTGTGAAATTCTTTCAAAATGCTACTCCTTCTACAGTTTTGGTCTGATTTCAATATAACTAGGCACACAAGTAGACTACACTAAGATACATATTTCTTTGCATCCGTTTTCGATTTCGATGAATGGTGTTGCCGTTGTTACTAAAAATAGAAATTTCTGTGAAATTCTTTCAAAATGCTACTCCTTCTACAGTTTTGGTCTGATTTCAATATAACTTGGCACACAAGTAGACTACACCAAGATATATATTTCTTTGCATCCGTTTTTGATTTCGATGAATGGTGTTGCCGTTGTTACTAAAAATAGAAATTTCTGTGAAATTCTTTCAAAATGCTACTCCTTCTACAGTTTTGGTCTGATTTCAATATAACTTGGCACACAAGTAGACTACACTAAGATACATAATTCTGTGTATTTGTTTTTGATTTCGATGAACGGTGTGGCTGTTGTTACTAAAAATAGAAATTTCTGTGAAATTCTTTCAAAATGCTACTCCTCCTACAATTTTGGTCTGATTTCATTATACCTTGGCACACAAGTAGACTACACTAAGATACATAATTCTGTTTATCCGTTTTTGATTTCGATGAACGATGTTGCTGTTGTTACTAAAAATAGAAATTTCTGTGAAATTCTTTCAAAATGCTACTCCTTCTACAGTTTGAGTCTGATTTCAATATAACTTGGCACAAAAGTAGACTACACTAAGATACGTAATTCTGTTTACCTGTTTTTTGATTTCCATGATCGGTGTTGCCATGGTAACTAGAATAAGAAATTTTTGTTAAAAATTCTCAAAATGCTACTCCAAATACAGTTTAAGTCTGATTATAATATAATGTGGCATGCACGTAGACTACACTAGGAACATATTAAATAGACTTAATCAAGGATCATTCTTCTTTTTATTGCTGTGGTAAAGTTTCAATTCCCAACTGCTTAAGAACTTTTCTCTTCCTTTGCTATAAGTACAAACCAGTAGAGCTTCAGTCTCGACAGAGACTTCTGGGTTTTTTTTTTTTGGCAGCGCAACCACTCATAAACCACTGTACAGAATTTCGTCAATCTTTGGCAGATACTTTGGCAGATATTTAGGACACAATGTGTAGATGTGCATATTGCCAGAAAATTCAGATTTCTTTATGTTTTCCGTCAATTTCCGCACTTTGTAACTTAGGGTTTTGAACATACCTTGTATATAGAGATAAACAGTTTGTCAACACAACTCCTTAAACATGTTAAAAGTTTTCAAAGAGGACCATTCGATAATGTACGTAATATACCAAGTAGTTACATGTAAACGGGTATGGTAAACATTCGGAGGAAGACGAGAATGCACTACTTACGTTTATTGTTAAACGATATTGCAAAACGTACAGCCCTAAGGTATTTCTATGCTCAATTAAGTTTATGTTAACATTGCTTAAAACAAGATAGAGAAATGTGAGTGTTTACTTAAAAAGATTTTTAAAATGTTATTATGTACGATTTATTTTAACATTCAAACCCAAGCCTTCAATTTAGTGATTTGATACAAATTGATCAAATGCTCCATTAAGGGGTGTACGATTGAATTGAGTTTGATATAGGATACTGGAATTTTAAAAAACTTTTTCCCAACAGATGATCCGAAAAATTAAAAAAAAAAGTTTATGCCAGCATGTACAATTTCGGCTGTTCTGAAAGAAAATAAATTTTTATAGGAAAACAATAGAAAAACATGATTGATTACGCTTTTACTTCTGAAATACCACCAAAAATGTACTGAAATTACACCCTTGCAATGAAAATACATTCAAGATTGTTCAAATCATGATCCACAATGAGGTCACAATGCTGAACAGTTTTACATAAAAAATATAGTAAATATCTTTTATATATTCTTAAGAACAGCAAAATCATGATTGGTCATAGGCAGTGAGTGCAGACTTAACTTTGTTCAAATCATGACCATGGTTTGATAGGTTGGAGCCATAATGCATGAGCAAAGTTTTACTTAGGAATATATTGGTCATATTTTAGTTGGACAGCTTGGGGTGAGGAGCCACAATGCAAGTTCAAATGTAAATAGCCATAAAAACACAACTAGTCAAAGAAGGATATGGAGATGACGAACAGTATTCAATCAAAGTCCATTAAACAATACAAAATAGGAGCAGAGCGAACACGGACCTCCGAAATCTCAGAGGTGGGATCAGGTGCCATGGATGTGTGAACATCCTCTGTTGACTGTTCACACCCACCATATGCTCCTTGTCATGAAAGAAATATGGAAGCATGTTGATTTGAGTTTGTTCAAATCATACCCTCTCCCCTTTATTGAATGGTTGGGACCACATTTGTATTTAAACTTACCAAAAATCAAATGCTTTTAGCTTTTTTCACAGCCAAAGTGGTAAGTTGATCGATGTGATATTTGGGCCTCTTGTTTATGTATTATAGAACTTCAAAAAGGTTAAATGTTTTATCATGTTTTTCCGTAATTTTATGAGTAAGTAACTAAATATAAAATTACAACTGATTTTTTTTTTTTATCATTTACAGAGAGAGATGGCAGCACTATCATTCAGATCTCAAACTCAAAGTATGTTATGTATTCAAAGCGATGCTGAAAAGTTGAACAATTATAGTGGAAATGACAATCTAACAGAAGTATTAGAAATGCATAACAATGTACACGTAAGTGCAGAGCCGCATATACATGTTAGTGGAGAGCCGCATGAAAGTTACATCAGTGGAAAAGATTCGTCTCATTCAGATCATTTTCAGAAAGAATTTATGAAACAAAATGGTAAATTTTATAAATGTTCTGTGTGTGAAAAGACATTCCTTCGACCTAGTTCCCTGCAAGCGCACATGAGAGTCCACACTGGTGAAAAACTTTATGAATGTGTTGAATGTAAAAAGACATTCAGTGGAAATCAATACTTAAGGGTACATATGAGAGTACATACTAATTCTAGAAAATGTGATGTGTGTGAGAAGACATTCAGCAGACCTTATAACTTACAGGCTCATATGAGGATACATTCAGGTGAAAAACCTCATAAATGTGAGGTATGCGGAAAAGCATTCACTGTATCAAAATACCTATGGAGACACATGAGTAAACATACTGATGAGAAACCTTATAAATGTAATCTGTGTGAGAAGGCATTCAAACAATCTATTACTTTACAGGAACACATGAGGACACATACTGGTGATAAACCTCATAAATGCCACGTGTGTGGGAAGGCATTCTCTTTATCTGGATCATTTAGGCATCACATGAGGACACATACCGGTGAAAAACTTTACAAATGCGACGTGTGTGGGAAGCCATTTTCTGACTCCTGTAACTTAAGGAAGCACATAGAGACACATAGTGTCCTGAGAAATGAGAAGCTTTATGAATGCAATTTGTGTTTAAGATTATATTCTGATTTGAGTTCTTTACAGCAACACATAAAGATACATACTGATAGTAAACCATACCAATGTGATCTGTGTGAAAGAGCATATTTGAAAAAATCGAATTTGGATATTCATATGAGGAAACACACCGGAGAAAAGCCCTATAAATGTGATGTGTGTGGAACAGCTTTTCCTTTAGCGTGGAGCTTATCCAGACACATGAAGACACATACTGGTGAAAAACCTTTTGAATGTGATGTGTGTGGGGAAGCATTCACTGAGTCACATACCTTACGCAGTCACATGAAGCTACACATCAGTGACGAACATGATAAATGAAAAGTTACACACAAGTAACAAACATAGTAAATGCGAAGTTACACACAGGTGACAAATATTGTAAATTTGAAGTTACACACAGATGACAAATATTGTAAATGTGAAGTTACACACAATTGAAAAATATATTGTAAATGTGAAGTTACACACAGATGACAAATATTGTAAATGTGAAGTTACACACAGATGACAAATATTGTAAATGTGAAGGTATACACAGATGACAAATATTGCAAATGTGAAGTTACACACAGATGACAAATATTGTAAATGTGAAGTTATACACAGATGACAAATATTGTAAATGTGAAGTTATACACAGATGACAAATATTGTAAATGTGAAGTTACACACAGATGACAAATATTGTAAATGTGAATTCACACACAGATGACAAATATTATAAATGTGAAGTTACACACAGATGACAAATATTGTAAATGTGAAGTTACACACAGATGACAAATATTATAAATGTGAAGTTACACACAGATGACAAATATTGTAAATGTGAATTCACACACAGATGACAAATATTGTAAATGTGAAGTTACACATAAGTGTCAAACATAATAAATGAGAAGTGTGTGTGAAAAGGTGTTTTCCTTGTCAAAAATCTAGAAGAGAAACATAGAGATACATATGAATGTGTAGTATGTGGGATGGTATTCACTGCCCACTTTCATTTTGACGGTCGGTTACGGATTCCAATACTTACTTCAGCCTATAGAGATCTAGACGTTCTGAAAGACGATTGTGACATCACGTTCAAATTATACAAATCTATTTTGTGGAATAAACACTAATGTTCTTTTTCATGTAAACTCCAAAAAGTTTTTATTCAATAAATTATGATATCAATAGTCAATGTATTATATAACGTACTACAAATATACTATTTAAATGTATGTAGTAAAGTCCTTCTGGTCTCGCTACACTGATCATGACTGTTTCGATACGTACTTCGTCTGTTCTTGAGTTGTAGGTGAAACATATAGAAATAACGAATGGTTTTCAAGATCAAAACTCCATAAAACAATACAAAACAGGAGCAGAGCAAACACGGACCTCCAAAATATCATAGTGGGATCAGATGCCATTAAGACATGGTTGCATGTAAATTTGAAAAATAAAATTAAGCAAATGTTATCTGACCAAAATAGAGACACTTATTGTTGAGTGTATTAATAATTACCTTGTAATCTTAATAATTGTAATACGTGTAGACCTCATATAATGTCCCTGTACACTTATACTGTAACATACATGAATGGCAAGGAGAACCCCTCGGAATTCGGAGTACACCAATATCCATTTAATTATAAATAACTATCTTTAACACTTGTAACTATTGTCACGGTTATTTTGAAAAATGCTAGGAGCGTATTTGCTGTAGTTTATTCCGAATTTTAAGAGGCTAGGGGTTAACAAATTAAGCATCAGATATAAATTATTTTTTTATAGATTGATTGTATACTGTTTAACGTCCGTCTCGAGGCATTTTCACTCATATTATTGTTTAGATATGATATCTTAATCTCTCAAATATCATTTTGCAAAAAAAAAAAAAAAAAAAATCAGTTTATTTAATTTTAGAATTTGATCATTTTCTAATATTTTCAATGAAATCTACTTAAGAGATCAAAATACAGTAAAACTCGGTTATAGCGAAGTCCTGGGGACCTGTGAATTTAATTGCTATATCCGTAATTCGTTATATCCGTATAACGAATTCGTGTAACCATATATAGCGAATTCGCAATATGCATGTTTTCCTTCAAGTGTTACTATCAAATATGTTAGGGAAGCAAATATTACAAAACATACCTTCGATAACTAAAGTTTTATTGTGAATTGAGTTTTATATACAAATGCTGAAAGAAAAAAAAGTCAGTTTAATTGATCAAATTTTGAGATCTTTGAAAGTTCGCTATAAAAGATGTAAAATTCATTATATTTAACCTCAACGGGACTCAAAATCAGTTCGCTGTATCCGTAAATTCGTTATATCAGAGTTCGTTATAACCGTAGAATTTTACAAAGATTTGTTAAGAATTTTGCCGGGGACCCAGAAGAACTTCGTTATATCCGTGAGTTCGTTATATCCGTGTTCGTACTAAACGTGTTTTACTGTAGTCTTAAAATGGCTACAACAACCTAGCCCTCTTAACAATGATTTCATTGTGTGTCAATCGAGGAAGTTTATCGAAACTAAGCCAAATATAATATTTTAATGAAGTTGCTCCTAAACAGATCTACAACAGAACTATTTTCGAAGAGAAAACTATGCGTTTATTGTTGAATCTTTAAAATCTTTGTAGCATTTCATATTTTTATGTCCCCTTTGAAGAAGAGACTGCATATTGCTTTGCTGTTGTTATGCCCCTTAGACATATAAAGATTCGAATTAGTTCAGGGAGGGGACACAAATGTTTTACAAACATCTCTTTTTTATATATAACTTTAATCATGCAACTTGACAAACAGCTGATGCAAGTAAAGTCGTTTAAGCCAGACAAAGAAGAGACCTTATATATACATACATGCAAACAGATGAACCAGAATTCATCAGTATTAATTCTGTTTAAAATTATATCGAATCCAATACTTGTAGCCATTTTCTACAACTATTTTAAATAAATTTCCTATGGGCCTCCTTATCTTAGCTGCCTGACTTATATATTATCTTAGTTGCCTGAGTAATATATTTTATGAAGCCCCATCAGGAGTGATTATTCTTGTGAAATGTGACCGAAGGCTTTTTTTCTTAATTAGGAAACATTAAGAAACTCATGAGGAGAAAATTAAGAGGGGATATAAAGTGCATGGGATGGCATTTGCTGAATTGCGTATTTTGCAGTCTCATGAGGACACATACAAGTGATTAAACATTGAAATTATTTGGAAAGAAATAGAGACATTAAAATAACGTTCAGAGACACATGATGCCACATACACGAAAAAATCTCATCTCTGTAGTGCGTGTGAGAAGGTATCCAACCAAAACATAACTTACATAGACACATGTGTATACTTACAGGTAATAAAATTATGAATTGGAAGTGTGTATAAAAATATGTGTTCATTTATATATCTTTCAGAAAAAATAAGACGTATGAAATCTTTGTTCCTGTGATGTTTGTGGGGAGGCATTCGAAAAACAATGTCTCTTTTCGTGAACCTTATGAGAAACAATGTGTTTGAAAAGGCATGCATTTAAACAACTCTGTTTGTTAAAGAAATAAAGAGACACGCCATGATAAATTCTGGTGATAAATTTTACAAATGCGATGTGTATGAAAAAGCATTTAACCATGTAGAAAATTTTTACAAGTACAAGAGTAACATAAACAATTCTGTAGGAAGAAAATCTTCTTCCGAAATATTTGAAAGCCTTTAAAACGTAATGTGTTGGTAGCATCTTCTTAAGAGGCTGGGGGGGGGGGGGGGGGGGGGGTCAAAAAATTAACCACAAATTAACCACCAGATTTAACTAATTTTTTTAGATACTGTGTCCTAAGCTGTCAACTATCATTTGGCAAAGAAAAAATTCAAACATTTTAGATTCAAAATTTGATCATTTTTGTATATCTTTATATGGAGCTCTTCTTTTAAAGGACATAGAAATAGTCTAAAAATGGCTGACACCCCCAACCTCTTTAAACAGAAAGCTAATTACAACTTATACACTATTAAATACAGATTTCAATAGTTTGGTAGAAAGCCTTCTGCTGTATTGTTTTACATAGACAGAGAATAGAAAATACAGGTTTGAGAGGTCTTTGAAGATACATAAAATGAATAAAAGATGAATATGCAAAGACTTGTTAAATGATTTTGAAGTCTTTTTAAAAGAGGCAATTAAGATAATAAAATAAATTAAAATAAGGATATCGTGCAACTACAGCTCGCGATTTATTGTAGTTGATCTAGTTGATGTTGTAAATTAAAAGAGAAATAAAATTTTGATGAAAGTAATGTATATGTTGTATGTGGATGCTACTCTCTCTCTGTCTCTGTCTCTCTCTCCCTCTCTCTAAAGAGGAATCATTTTTAAGGGAATAATTTATTCCCTTTGGAAGATACGTAATATACACGATAAAAAGAATTTTAATGCTCTACCGGTTTTTACTTCTGGGATGTACCAGTAATTATCTAATAGAATGCTGAGGATAATAATTGGTCGCAAGAGAGGCAAATCTATGTGTGATTGTTTGAGAAAATGTTCATGGGGAAGGGAAAAAAACAAGATTTTTGTTTATTAGTTTTGTAAAATGATTCTTTAATAATATCAAGTTTAATTATTTTAAAATTATTTTAAAAACTTGCTTTAAACCCAATCTTATTTGTATTAAAAAAAATCCACTCTATTATATTTTTTTCATAAAAGGAAATTCAACTGACAAGTTTAAAAATAATATTGCTCTAATACAATGTAAAAATTACATTGATGTGTCCATGTGTGCAAAAAGTAATTTTTATTAGGCATTTTGCATATTATATTACCCTACGTTTCATTTTCTTTTCAATATATTTTAGACTAGATTTTAGTCGAAGGGTAGGCCGTTACTGGTTTTACTTTTTCCATGTTTTCCGAATCAAAGGTTTGCAAACTGAAGAGAGGTTGATGTAGGCGAGTGCCTGTCCGCAATTTTTTTTTAAATATGGGTTAAAATAATTTTTGTTACCGACTGAAAGTCGAAAGTCATACTAGTTATCGTAAATGGATTTCTTCAAGATTGCCTTTATATCATCATGATTATTGATAAAGATAGACTGTGGATAGAAAATATTCCTCTCTTGTGTGTTTGATGATCGTGATAAGATGATGTGCAAAGTGGATTGACGTTTTTTCAATCTAATTAAAATTAGATCTTTGATCCGCTCCAGTTTGATCACTTTTGAATTGTCAAAAAGCACATTGCATTCTTAAATAGACTTCAATTGTGTGACAATATCCCATTTAATTTAAAAAAAAAACGACTGTTCAGTTAAAGTAGGAATTAGTATAAGTTTTAAATTCTTTTTGATTTCTTAAACACAATAGATACGTTTATATTTAGTGTCAAAGCATAGGCAGAACACTGAAATATTTTGTATTTTTCTCTGGGGATTCTCAGAATAGACACGGAGTCTAAAATACTTCAGTTCAAAGACTTTTTTCACCATCTTATACACTATTTATGATTTTATGAAAGTGAAATTTCATGTGCCTAAATATGTTACGGCAAACACAAAGATGGAAGCATTAGGCAAAAGTTTATTGCTAACATTGATTGGTTGTGCACTTCTGTAGCTGGACATTTACTTAACTATTTTTCAAATCTCTACCTTTCAATCTGCTGTGTACCGCATAGGCGTCGGAACCGGGTAGGGGGGCTTAGCAACCTACTCTCATTTTATTTAGAAAGATAGAAATTATATAGGCTTTGAAAATTTGGATTTACCTTTTTTGTTGGTTAAGCCAACCCCCAACCCTCTCCCCCACCACTTTCGATTAGTCTCCCCCTTTCAAATTCCGATCCGGGTTAGAAAAGGTCCTCAGTACCCCCTTGCTTGTCGTAAAAGGCGACTAAATGGGGCGGTCCTTCGGATGAGACCGTATAAACCGAGGCCCCGTGTCACAGCAGGTGTGGCACGATAAAGATCCCTCCCTGCTCAAATGCCGTAAGTGCCGAGCATAAACCTAAATTTGCAGCCCTTCGCCTGCAATGGTGACGTCTCCATATCAGTGAAATATTCTGGAGAGGGACGTTAAACAGTATACAATCAATCAATCAATCAATCAATTTGCTTCCGTCTCCCATGTACCGTCACAGTAGTTACGTCAGTAGCCTGCACGCTC